AAAGTTGAGGGAAAATGAAAGCAAGTGTATCCATATCACACAAAAGACACACTGATCCTTGTTCTCCCTAGCACTCTGCAGAGATCTGCTGCGTCAGAATTTGGGCTTAAGTTTTCATGTCCACTGGAAAAAGCTATAAAAGGCCCTTCAGTTTCCTCAACTTGTCTGTTGTCTTAAACAGTGTAAATTTAAAAAACAAACATCATCAGGCATTCCACCAAACTCTGTGGTGCTGAGACACAGGGGTCACTGTGTGTTCATTTTCTGTTGCTGGACAAAGACACCTGCAAAAATACTCTGCTGTTACCACAGGAGGGAAAAGCCCAGTGCAGGGAATTCACCCTGTGCTTGGATCTGTGTGAAGAAGGACCTGGGGTCACAGAGTGAGCTGTGTCACAAAAAGGCCTTGGTTGCTCAGTTTAGATCAGACCTTTTCAAACTTGTGTTCCAGCCAGAGTCCCCTGACTCTGTATTTCAAGAAATGCACAGAAATGTGTTCATAGAACTTGTGCTTATGAGCTAGAAAATCAGAATAACTGGTTGTGTGACTATGATTCTTAGGTGCATAATTAAAAACAGACCAACATTTGAGTGGATTTCTGTACATATGATGCAGATTTTTCCTCATGAGTCTTTAAAAAGAGCTCAATAGTGTGTGAGCTGCACAGGCAATTGGCTGCTATGTTTGCAGCTAGTCTTTGAGATGGTGGTAGAACTTGAAGAGTGGCAGTGCAGACTGACATGGGTAAGAGCAGTATCTGAAATAAAGGTCCCAATTACCTGCTGTGCAACCCCTTTGGGATTAGGATGCTGCTGCTTCTCTTTGAAGTAGGAAAGTGCTGTATGTATAGAAATTCAATAGTATTTTGCCCTCATTGAGCTCCTGAATGCCTCCCATTAATCACAGTGCTAAGAAGATAGTGCCTGGGTGCTGGGAACGATTAGGAATTCACATTTGGAAATGGTGCATCTGTTTGAGTTAGTATCTCTCAGAGGAGCTATTGAAAATCTTCTTCATGGAGTGTTTGACTATAGCATATTGATTGGTTTGAGATCAAAGCAGCCCTTTCCCATCTGGCTATGTTCCCTTAAAACAGGAATGGTGGATTAACATTCTAGACTGACACCAGAGTCAGTTTGTAGAAGAGAAGTTATTTCTCTGCCAGGGTCAAGGTTTTAGATGAAGGCTGTGAAACTGCCAGTGGTGTGTTTTGTGCTGTGGGTTGGTTTGTTGTTGGAGACCAACACCCTGCTACAAGGTGCTGTTTTACTAGGAATTAAGACCAGTTTTTTTGACTAGGATTGCCTTTTAGGGAAATGTTGAGTAAACTTAGGACTGCAAACCTGGTAAGAGCTAACTAGTACAGCTGGTGATGCAGCTGTTAATGGCATTGGGCTGCCAAACTACCCACCAAAGGCACCAGACCTTATTCAAGCCTGGGTGATTGTCCTGTTCTTTTCCCTGTTTTGATGACAGCATGGTTTATTCTTTATCTTAGAGACTTTTGAATGGGATGCACCATTGGTAGAGTTGATGTAAATATCTGTTTTTTTAAAAACAAACATTTGAGCAGTTGATTCTATCAGGGTGTTTGAATTTGACCTAAAGCAAGGATTGAGGCCATTACATCTGCCTGGTTGTGTTTGCTTCGCATTATTGCGGTACAGATAACGATCAGAGCAGCCTTGCAGTGCTTTTATTGCCAGGTCAGAATTTCAGAGTTATAACCACTTGGGTTTTGTTTTTCTTACAGGGAAGAGCAAGAAGAATCCTCAGCAATTCGAGTTGGTTTTGTCACTTATAACAAGGTCCTCCACTTCTTTAATGTCAAAAGCAGCTTAGCTCAGCCTCAAATGATGGTGGTCACGGATGTTGCAGAAGTTTTTGTCCCTTTGCTGGATGGTTTCCTTGTTGACTTCGAGGAATCACGATCAGTTGTTACCAAGTAAAGTAGAATTATTCCTTATGAGAATAAGATGTGAATGCTTATGATAATGCATGATGCCTTTTAGTCCGTTGGGTTTTGGGGAGTACATGTATCTGTTGAAATCCTTTGGAAGCCAGCAGATGCTTCCTTTGGGGATTATCCCAAATACACTGACCAACTGATCCATTCTCTTTCATAGCTTGTTGGACCAGATTCCAGAGCTGTTTGCAGACACTAACGAGAGTGAGACCATCTTTGCTCCTGTTATCCAGGCTGGCATGGAGGCACTAAAGGTTAGAATGTCAGAGAGGCAGCTCAAAATTGGCTGTGCTAAAAGCCAGAGCCATCCCAATGGGAAATTAGGCAAAAGAGTCATTGATTGTTTCCAGTGCTAATGTTCAGTTGTTCCAATGGTGCATTTGAACTGCTTTAGTCAAAATGAGGACACTGTTTGCAGTATGTTTGCAGGTCGTCTTATTGAGGGAAACCAGTCCCTAGAGCCTGTGCTACACAGCAGGGGTGTTCAGGAGAAGATGAGGAGCAGGAGTCAGTTTCTCATTCAGCATTTGGAAGAAAAAAATATGTGTTTTTAGTTACTGCAGCAGAAGCAATAGGTACTGTGAGTGTTTGCACAGATGCCCAATCCTTGCACATGTGGAGGGCAGGAAAATCAGTGTAAGGTGTGACTTTGCTCTGTCTGTTCTCCTCCTTGTGCAGAGCAAGGTATTTATGACCGTCTGTGACTGAACTGGGTAGGGGCTGGAGAGTTTCCGTTTAACCGACAGGTTCTCACAGTTGGCAGAGAATCCACAGGCCAAGATGTTGCCCAGTTTCTTCTGTATGTCCAGAACATCCCCTGAAGTGCTGACATTTCCCTGGAAAGCTGCCAGCTAAACACATGCCACCATGGTTCACCACAGGATTGGTAGGGCAGAACACAGGCAGTGGTGGTTTAAAGGAGTTGATTTATCTGTGAGCTGTGTATGAGTAAAGCATCAGCTTGGAGTAGATAAATTTGTTGAACTGAAAATACACAACATTTCTCAAATCTGTTTCTTAAATACTGTTTTAATACTTGTTTGCTTGTTGTTTATTCACCCTGCCAGCAGGTAAGTGTGCAAAACGTAGGTCTGGTCACCACTTCCAGCAGAATGCTTTTCCCCAATACAGACTGATACAAAACAAACTTAAGGGCCATAATTTTAAACTTCCTTTGCTGGCTACAGAAGGAAGCAGCTCTTAACTAAGCTTTTATTTAGCTCAGTATTTCCTAAGTTATAATTTGTAAGGGTTTTCACTGTGAGTTACTCATATGGATGTACCTGTGCTCAAGGAAAGAGTTCTTCTCTAAAAACAATTAACTGGACTGTGTTCCTATTTGAGATTAATTATAATACACTTTTAGAAATAATATATATCCATTTTAGAAAATCTCTTAAAAGCAATGCCAGTAATTCCTGAAGCATATCAGGGCAAACAGGTGTTTGGGAAGTCTTTGGGCCTTCAGCAGAATGCTCCTTAAAAGAGATTGAAATTGGCATCTGTGATGAAAGGTAACTGTTCTTGAAATATTAGGGGTGGAATTTCAGCTCCTTTAGAAGTAAGGTGCTCTCTTCAGTTGTGTTTCTGCCATAGCAGAGAGATTTCTAGTTTTCCCAGAAAAATGTCACGGCTTATTTTGATATGTGGAATGTCTTGTGAACATCCTGAGAGCTGGAGAGGGAGTACCAATGCTGATTTGTCTGTAGTCCTGGCAGTGTAGATTGGAATGTGGAATCTAGTACAGGAATGTAATTGTCATCTGTAAAAATGTATTGGACACTAGTTCAGTAGTGCCTGAACTGAAAGAAATATTTTTTCTGTTAAATTACATTCCCTTTTAGCAATTTTAGTATTTGTACTTTTGGTTCTTGGTGCTTGTTGCATAATACATGTGTCCAACTGGAAGTTCTCCAAGAGAAGTTATTCCTAGTTTCAAGATTTTAGATTCCTCTCTAGAAAGTACTGCAGCCAACATACCTGTGTGCTAGACTGTTACTGACATAAACCCCCAGTTTGGGGACTTAGTTCCATCAAGTTTTGAGTCTAAAGTAATTACTTCTCTTGGAGGAATTTGCAGACAATTTAGAGTGTTCTCTGAGACACCACAATATATGAATATTAGGTTTGTTAATCTTGCACTAACAAATATGCCACTGTGGTGTGTTTGAAACAGGCTGCAGAATGTGCTGGGAAATTGTTTATCTTTCATTCTTCATTGCCAACTGCGGAAGCCCCAGGGAAGCTGAGAAACAGAGATGACAAAAAACTACTTGGTACAGATAAAGAAAAGGTATTTTCTTCTCTGAGCTAAGAGGGGGCTGCTATTATACTGAATTTTCTCTTTTTTCACTTTCTTTTACAAAGATATGTGTTTAATTATGTGATGCGTCTAGTGATTAGTTCTGCAAGAACATCCTCCCTGCATACATGTGCAGGGCAACATGCTGATTGTAGCTATGCCTCACTTCAGACTTCCACTTCATCCTCTTGTCTGCACGTGGCCCTTTGGGTCTAATGTGATGACACCTGTATTTTTTTCTTCCTGTGCAGACACTTTTCCAGCCCCAGGGAAATTGTTACGAGGCCTTAGCCAGGGATTGTGTGGCCAATGGCTGCTGTGTGAACTTGTTCCTCTTCCCAAATCAGTATGTGGACGTAGCCTCCATGGGCCTTGTCACGATGTACACTGGAGGAACACTGTACAAGTACAACAATTTCCAGGTAAGTGATGCAAGTTTCCTGCCTTTCAGATAGTAACATCTGGGGGGTGGTTTTTCATCTCATTTATTTAAATGAGATGCTTGGAGATTTACCATAAAAACAGCGTGGGTCTGGAAAACTTGGTTATCAACTCCAGGGGATAAAATGCAAACTTAGAAATGAGAGCTCAAGCTCAGGTTTGTATCTTGAAACAGTAATAAGCAAGTTGGCATCTTCAAATCCTGCCGAGGCTGCAAGGTTAAGTGCAGGGCCAGAGGTTACTGAGGCTCATTTGGTCAAATAGAAATTCTGGGTGTCCAAGCCTAGCTGTGAATTGTGAACACTTGCCTATATATGTTTTGGTAACATCAACAATCAGCACGTTTAATTCTCTGTTAATTGGAGCTGTTAATGTGGAGAGCAGCTTTGGTGCCGGGGTGCCGGGCGTTGGGTGCTGCTCCCTGGTGCTGAGCGGCAGCTCCTGCTCTGCCTTGGCAGCTCGACGCCGATCGCTCGCAGTTCCTCCGCGACCTCAGGAAGGATGTCGAGAAAAGGACAGGGTTTGATGCCACCATGAGGGTTCGGACGAGTACAGGTAACGGGGCCCATGGGAATGAACATGCATGAGTTTTAAATAATACAGTGCTTTGCAGATCGCTTGTAAGAGCAGGCTAACTGTTCTCACTTCATTTTCTGCCTCTTGAAAAGCATTTGGACAGCCTGATAAAATGCATGGATATATGTGTATACATATTCATATGTATTCATATATATATATATATATACACACACACACACACATACTTTCTGTATATGCCTCCTTAACTGATTTCAAATCTGGGGAAGGCTTCTGCTCACTGTGCACACATCATGGACTGCAAGTAAGTTGTATAAAGCTGCTGCTGGACACTTACATGTGTCTTCATTGTCATGCTCAAATGACATTACTGTGTCTACTTCTTCAAGCATTCATTGATTCTTAGCTCAAATACAACTATTAAGAGCCACACAGAGGAAGAGGCCAGGCCAGCAGTGCAGAAGGTCTGGGTGGTCTGTCACAGCACAGCCTCAGCCTTTTCCCTCCCACACAGCTGTCACAAATGCCCTCGGCAAGGACACTCGGTGGGATGGACCCACAGAGGCTGCAAAGCCCTGAGAGGAAATAGTTCCTGTTTGTTTCAGTAAGTAATGTTAATTTTATTTGCCAGTTTTAAATAAAATGTTTTGGTTTAATCTTGCTGTATTTAGGCTTCAGGGCTACAGACTTCTTTGGTGCCATGTACATGAATAACACGACAGATGTAGAAATGGCAGCGATTGACTGTGACAAGGCAGTGACAGTAGAGTTCAAACATGATGACAAACTGAATGAAGACACTGGAGCCTTAATTCAGGTAAATAAAAATAATTAATTAGATGTAATGTCATGAAATGGTGAGCAAGAACTAATGCAGCTATAGCAGAAAAGGACTGATGGGAGCAAGGCAGAGCTTCCCATCGCACCACTTATAAAAGGTGTGCTCCCCTATCTCTGTGCTGCATGTTCTACTCAGGGATAGCAAAATGCTTTCTAAACACTGAGACCTTATCAGCTGTTTAGTTTTTCCATTTTACAATAAAGGAAGTTTATTTGGAGTACAGGATTTATTGCTACATATATGACAATTGTTACTGCTGTGGCATTCCTCATGATCTCTCTGTTCAAGAGCAGTTCTCCATTGCCAAACATCACTTCCAGCCCTATGGAAGGTCGAAGATTTTACAATTTTAAGAGGAATAACTTTGAAAATGTCTAATGTACTTCCATAAGTACTACAGGTGTGTTGGTGCCATGGCTGCCATCAGCACTGCCCAGCTGTGCTGGCTCCAGAGGGCATTATATGCCTTTTATGCACCAAGGGGATGGCTCTTGCCTGACAGGAGCTTTTGGTTTTAAAGTCACTGGTAATAATTTGTGCCATTTTTGCAGTGTGCTGTCCTCTACACGTCGATAAGTGGGCAGAGACGAGTTCGCATACACAACATAGGTTTAAACTGCAGCTCCCAGTTAGCTGATGTCTACAGGACTTGTGAGACTGATGCACTTATCAACTTCTTTGCTAAGTCAGGTAAAGTTACAACAGACTAATTTTGTTTCCTCTTTTTACTTTGGGGTTGAGGGAGGCGAAGTAATGGGGGCTGAAGTGATTATCTAGTAAGAAACCTTGTTTTGTAAGTTGCTGCTCCAAACCTAAGCACCTCTTGAAGTATTAAAAATTTTAAAAGACAAGTAATTACCCATTTTAGACAAACTGCCATAAAAGTAATACAAAAAAGTGTGCAGGCTCAGTTTTGGCAATGGACAGCCTACCATAGTGTTGGGGGTTTTGGTTGTCTGTAGAAGAGGCTAAAAACCAGTGACAGACCTCAGGTCAGTAAAAGCAGAAGGTAGCAGAATATAGGTACTTTGAGAACATATGTCTGTCTTTAACAGGCTCTTTTATTCTCCTGTGTTGTAGCTTTTAAAGCCATTCTGAGCCAGCCCCTGAAGGCAGTCAGGGACATCCTGATGAGTCAGACAGCTCACATGTTGGCCTGCTACAAGAAGAACTGTGCCAGCCCAGCGACTGTCAGCCAGGTAAAACCCACACTCAGTGCCCCCACCCAAGCTTTGCCACCTCTGCAACATCAGCAGTGCCTGAAAGGAACATTTCTGGACAGACCTGCCTGTTTTTTTCAAAGATAATTAATGACAGGTGGGATTCAGCAGTTGTTCCAGAACAAAAGGCATTGCCATTGAGGAAGTGGATACCCATATTCACAT